AGATTGATTTTAGCCAACGAAGCTTGGGGCTCTGGGCCCCTTCCGTACATGGGCTCCCTCCCACAGTTGAATGCTTTTATAACATTTTCATAAGTAAGATATTTAAGCATGGTTGTTTTTAGACGGTTTCTACGCCACTGTCCTATTTTCCCTGAAGCCAGGTGTTGATGGAGTGGACATGGGCTTGTTGGAGATTGAGTTGGGGGTACATATAGTTTGGGTATATTCATATAGTGGCAGTTACTTGCGTGTGGGGTTGGACCCAGCGTAGCAATGGGTCCCAGGAATGTCCTGCTCTGCTGCTTGTCCACCACCATGGCAGGTGCCCAGCAGAAGCTAAAGAAGGGGAGTGAAGTTTGAAATGTGTGGAGCTAAGAATTAGACCATGGAAAATTCTTCCAAATATGAAGTCTTACACGAAAAAAACTTGATAGAGGTTTTCTTATGTTTGACAACAATCCTCAGCTACATGTGAAGATGAAAATGTTCCCATTATCATAATAAAAAGCAAATTTTGGTCAATGATTCTAGAGAAAAAACTTTATATATAAGTTTCCATATAAACTTTTTTATATAAAAAATGACATTACAATATCATTGCTGTATGAGGGGAATAATTTGTTTTCTATTGCTGCTGCAATATTACCACAAACTTGGTGGCTTAATACAAAATTTATTATCTTATAGTTCTAGATGTCAGGCGTCCAAATTCAGTTTTACTGGGGTGAAACCGAGATGTTAGCAGGCTGGTGCCTTCCGGAAGGTCTAGGGGAGAGTCTGTTTACCACTTTTTCCAGCTTCTAGAGCCTGCCTGGATTCCTAGGTTCACAGCCTCTTCCTACATCTTCAAAGCCATCGATGTAGCATCTGACCACTTTTCCATGATCACGTCTCTTTCTCTGACCAGACCCAGGAAAGTTTCTCTGATTTTTGAGGTATGTTTCCTCAATCACATCTGTAAAGACTCTTTTGCATATAAGGAAACACATTTCCATGTTTTAGGGATTAGGATGCGAATCTTTGGGGACCATTATTCTGTTTCCCACAAAGGACAATATTAATAGTTGTGATTTATTCTGATTTCTTTTCTAGTCTTTCTCACAAATACGTCTTCTGTTTGGTACCTAATTCCATATTTGCAATGTGCATTCTTTTTCTTGAAGAAGACCCCTCCAGTTGTACAAGCCTCAGACCTCACATAAGCTGACTCCTGGCAACTCTACTTGCCCACTGACCGAGTTGAGAACTTGACGAAATTTTTCCCACACTAGCTGGGCAGAGTCTGTGGGGGTAGTTCTGCTCACTGGCCAGGAAGGGAACCCGGGAATAGCTGAAGAGGAGAGTACCTGTGTCTCATACGGTAACTCTGGACAATCACCGAGCAAAGTGCAGGATGCCCATATTCTATAAGGGATGTTCTGATGAGCGCTATGCTCTGTGGGTGCCCGTTGGGGGAGGTGGAAGAGCCCCTGAACCGTGGCACTCAGAGCTCAGTAGATGTCCTGCTTTGGCAACTGCCATGATGCTTTTTGGTTTGGCCAGTCTGCTCTTTCTGTCTTGGGGCTCCAAGATGATCATGTCCGGCTTTCTCTCTGGGATTCTTTCCTGGCCCCAGTATTGACCGAAGTCTCTCTTCTCTCCTGCTGCCTTATGGAAAACACCCATCATCGGGGTCTCCCTTTTGGCCATTTACTCTGCCCTCTTCGGGTCTTCATGCTGCCCCCCACCTCGCTACCTGTGCCTCTGGTCGTGCAGGTCCCTGAAATTCCTTCTCTCTGCCCTTGAGTCTCCCCCACTCTCACTTCCCTAGTGCTGTCTCTTTCCCAAATCTACCTCAGCACCCAGGTGAGGGCTTCTCTCTTGCTCTCTCCCCTTCTAGCAATTTCCTCTTTCTGCTCTGGTGAGAATTTTCTCCTCCACCTCCAGATATCTCTGCTACACTTGGCAACCCAACAGGCAACATCGTGGGCCTTCTACTGGGCATTTCCTTCTTCCCTAAAAACAAAAAGATAGGCACTTCCCACGTCTATACCCGGTGTCCAGCCTGGATGTATCCGCACCATGGCTCACCGTGTTCACACAGTCTCTCAATATCTGGCTCCAAGGGTCACTAGTGGAGGCTTCCCACCCCTCTCGCTCCCCCAAAGTAGACTCTCTCCCCAGCACCACCTTTTCACACGTTCCTTCTGCTGGTGGGGAGTGTGAATATTCACACACTTCTCTGGTTTTCTTGGTCTTCCATCATGATTAGCCAGCTACCCCATACTGTCGGGGTTCTATGAACACTCAAGCCTCGTGTGCTGCCTCTCACAGCTCAATCCCCCTTGACTGGCAGATGCCAGGTCTGCGGACAGGGTCTCATTTGGCCTCATTTTGGAGCCTGAAGCTGCTCAACCAGCACCACTCAGGTGTTCTGCAGGGCTGTCAGTGTGGGCCTCCAGTAGCCACCGTCCTCCATGGTCAAAGCCAACCCAGCGGCCATGCAGGTTTCATCCTCCACGCCTGCCTCTGCAGTCCTTCCCCGGCTCCTGGGCATCCCGGAGTCCTCCCCCAGCCACACTTGGAGATCCTTCCTCCTTCCATAGCAGAAACTGAACTCTGCGTTTCCTTTGGAATTTCTCTCCGCTATCACCCTGGGATGCACCACTCTCCTTCCTTTCTTTCTCCCCAAGTTCAACCCTGTCCTCCCTGTAGTGCAAGTTCTCCAGCATGCTCAGATTACCAAGCCGGGTGAGGAACAGGTGCAACCCTTAGAGCAAGCCCAGCTGGATTCAGTCAACACTGCATGTTTAATTAGTCTGATTAAATTCACATGAACAAGAGATGTGGCTGGCACATACCAGTCGCCCAGGCACTGTCATTTCTCTGTCCACAGGGCGCCGTGCTGGAAGGACTGTTATAAGGGGAAAGCGGGGTCAGAACTGTAGGCAATACCCAGCACCCCCATCCACCCAGGTCCAATCTATTTCTAACAGAACTCTAGGGGTTCTGTTTCCATGATCTCTTCCCATGTAACAAACCTCCCCCAAACTTACCGGGTGAAGCCAGCCACCATTTTATTTTCTCCCATGATTCTGTGTTGACAGAGCTCAGCCTGCTCTGTGGCATCAGCCGGACGCTTAGCTGGGCTGGCATGTCCACAAGGGTTTGCTCACTTGTCTGGAGGTTGGTGGGGAGGGTTGGAAGGCCGGGGCAGAGGGTCCTCTCTCATCTTGCCATGTGAAGGCTTTCCCTCTGCACATGGTCTCTCTGCATGGTTCCCTTGGGTGTCACCCCAACAGCTGAGCTAAACTTTCTCACACGGTAGGTTAGGGCTCCCCCAAAGGGCAGAAGCAGAAGCTACCAGGCCTTCTTGCGGCTTCAGCCCACAACCGGCACAGTGTCATTTCCCCACAATTCTATTGGTCAAAGCCAGTCACAGGCCATCCCAGATTCCTCCTGTGAGAGGACTGCACTAGGGTGTGGACCCCAGGAGGTGTGTTTGCTGGAAGCGGACTTCGGAGCAAAGCTGTCATGGGTTCTCTAGCTGGGGCTTCATATATGAGAGAATGAACTACAGAATGTACCAGATCTGTGTAACAGTCAACTTAGGTAAAACAAAGTAAAAGTTACACAAATGCTATGACATGAGACTCTGGCATTAATCCTAATACCTCCTCATTACAGAGTTGTATCAGTCAGACACAGTGCAATAAGCAAATGTCTCCTCCCTTTGTCCCTTGGCAGACAATTCTTTTACGTCTAATTCTGCTGTAAGTTGTTTTTGCTGGCTCTTGCTCATGGTGCCACCTTAGTGTTTGATTCCTGATTTGGAGGTTTTGCTCATATTTCTTGAAAATTATTTGTGTGATTCTTTGCACCTCAGTGGAAAGTGATTTCCCTAGAGAAGAGTGTGTCTGCTTCTGTGGGTGTCTGGGAGCACTGCCCACCCAAGATCTCCTTAAATCAAATCATTAGCTTCAGGTTTTTGGGAGGGCTCTCAATATATATTTTGTCTGCAAGCCCATATGTGGTCAGGATCATGATTTGAAAAATCAGGGGGTATTTCCCCCCACACTTGTTCAGTTCAAGTTTCCCATCAGCCTATTTTATATACAGTTTTCCGGAAGCAGGATTGTGGGACAGATTAATTTCTAATTCATTTTTACAGGTGAAATGTTTGCTTTCATCTATTTTGCTGCTGGAAAGAGAAACATTTGTGTTGAAATGTTACTAAAAGTTTTATTTGGGGTTAAGAAAAGGCAACATCATCTGTGGTGTGGTGGCCCTGGGCAATCAGTGCCCAGAGAGGCTTTGGGAGACATCATGAGTAAGACAACTCCCATCTCTGCTCATCCTCCTCCATGCTCATTCCAAGTATAGAATTTGGGCACACTGTCAGGTGAACATTCCCTGGGGCAAGCATCTCAAACACAAGTCTACTAACGGGTACAAGTTCTTTGATTATTCACTTATGCCCCCGCTTGACTGGGATGCTGGCTGTTGTCTTCCTGCATTCTGAGAGCCCGTCTCCTCTCTGTTTTTCTCCCCATTTGCTTCGTTACTCAGCTGAAAACTGCCTTTCTGTCCTGCCTTTTCAACTTTCTCCGGGAGCTTGGGCCACCACATGCCTGAGAGGCTGTCTCCCCGGGTCTCCCTAGTCCCAGAACCATCTCTAACAAGTGGTCTGTCCCTTGGGCCTCTGACCAGGTTATGGGCTCTTAATCCCAGTCCACTCAGGAATTGCTTCTGTGATCCCACCCGGGCAACCTTTTCTTTTTCCTTCTCATTTCTTCCTCTTACCCTTCTCTCGCCATGTTTCTGTTCACATGCTTTCCTACAGGAAAGCATACACACCGCCACCATGACATCTTTCCTGATAATGAATACTAATCCCACCCCCAGTTCTCCCGTGGTTCAGCTCTTGGGTCTGCAGAACCATGTGGGAGCAGCACACAGGGAGGACTGTCTGAGCACATCTCTGCCTGGCCCCTTCATTTCCTGTGTTTTTTCACTTCTAGCCCAAGAGGCCTGGAAGCAAACCTGGAGGTGAGACCTGGAGAAAGCTGGAACCATGCTGACCTTGTGTCCTACGAAGAGGCAGAATCAGTACCTGGGAAGACTGCCGTCAGTGCAGATGAGGGAGATGGGGGTCCCCAAATCTGCCGTGTATGCGGGGATAAGGCAACTGGTTACCACTTCAATGTCATGACATGTGAAGGATGCAAGGGCTTTTTCAGGTAGAGTTACCTGCCAGCCTTTACCCACCTGCCACCCCAACACACTGGGTCACATCTAACTGGGGTTCTGCCATTAGCCCACTGGGAACTGCTTTAGAGCCTTAGCTTGACCTATTCCGGGTTCAGAGTATGGGGCAGTTGCCAATTCAAAAGCCTTCTATTTTTTTCAGGAGATTCATGAATATCTCAGAGGACTTCATCTTCCATCTTTCTATCTTACCTGGGAAAGGGCCCCTTCCACTAAGATAACACTTTTGTTTCTCCATGTGTTGAATAAAATGGAAAATCAGTTCATAAAAGAGGAAAGAATCCAAAAAGCCAAAACTCAAGTGCTCAAATCAACTAAAGGGAGTGTTTGTTAAGCAAAGAATGGCAAAGAAGAATAGGACAAAACAGTCTCATCTAGAAACAGGCAAACAGGGAGGTCGAAAACTTAAGGACTGCAAAGTATCAGCTCATACACAGCAAGACAGGCCTACACAGAACAGTTCACATTGTCCAAATGAAGAAAGAGTAAAGACCAAAGCCCCCTGCGAGGCTCTCAGATCAAAAGGAAGAGAAGCAGGCCAAGAAAGGAGGGAAGTAGAGAAAGAATGTGTGAGGAGTTCGCAGTCTGCCCACCAGGAGGGCCAGGGAGGTGGAGAGCAGCTCCCACCCAAGGGCCCACTTGGGAAGCTCCCAGGACAGCCAGCTGGCTGTCTGCAGAGTTCCTGGCAGCTGAACATGTGCCTAGAAATGGACCCTAGAGCAGGACCCATCCCGCAATCTCTAAGATGGGCTGCCAGTCAGCATGCGGTGGGTGGGGGGCCAGAACCCACAGCAGGCCCTCCAGGGAGGTGCTGCGGCAGCTTGGACGTCTCCCTAGTGAAGAAGCCCGGCTTTGGGGCTGGTGCTGCGAAGCTCTCCAGTCCTGTGGGGCTCGGTTGGTCTAGTGCGGGTCCCAAAGCAACCACGTCGGCAGCCACACTCCAGGTCCTGTGGAGTAAGTACAACAGGGTCCGGAGAGACGTGTAGCTTGGAACACCCCCCACCCCCCAACACCCACCCGCGCACAGGAAGCCCCGGTGTTCCTCGAACCGGCCTTTCGCTCTCTGTTCTCTCACAGGAGAGCCATGAAACGCAACACCCGGCTGAGATGCCCCTTCCGGAAGGGCACCTGCGAAATCACCCGGAAGACCCGGCGCCAGTGCCAGGCCTGCCGGCTCCGCAAGTGCCTGGAGAGCGGGATGAAGAAGGAGAGTGAGCAGCGGGAAGTGCCCTGGGCGGGCGCGGGCTGGGGCGCATGCGCATCGTGAGCCTGGGCCAGGCCTGCCTCGGGCCCAAGCTGGACGGAAGCGCGGTGACATGTACGCGCACGTGTGCAGCCACGCACCATGGGTGCGCACATGCCTGTGACCTGTGTACAACAGGCAGGCCAAGGGAGGAGAGCTCATGGGCCACCTGCCCACACCACCACCACAAGCCCATCCTACAAGGACTTGACAGAGAAAGTGCATCTTTATTCTCTGCTCCGGGAGGTGTGGTGGGCATCTCATGCCCCTTTAACCCCTCGGGTGCCCCTGCACGGTTCTTTTCGTCGCTTTCATAATCGTCCACATGGTGTTTTAGCCAAATTGGGCCAGGGGAACTGGGGAGAAGGAAGCCAGAGACACATGGTGTGATACGACCCCCAACCTTCCAGCAACTAGTGCCCATCAGCCTCCCAAACCTGGTGTTTGGGAGGAATTCCAGAAGAATCAGACAGGTGGCATAGGATACTCTCATTCTACCTGTCGATCTTGGATGTATAATTGTGCTCCCAGGTCACTCTGAGATTAAGGCTGGTAAGGAAAGGCTGGAAGCTTCCAGTGCATCTGTCTCCACTGATCCCATAGTTGGCAGCCTCTTTCAGGGGTCGAGTTCCCTGGGCTTGTGGACAGGGGCCTATCCTTGCAGGCCAGGTGAGAGTCAGGGCCTCATGTGGCTGTCCCCACTGTTGCTTGCACTGACGCCCACCTCTTTGCTCTGCACGCATAAGTTCCAGAAATCCATGGAAGGCCCTAAGGCTCCAACCTATGTAGGAAATGGCTGGAGTTGATATTTCGTGCTGAGCAGCAGCCCCAGCTCCCTAGGGTCTTGGAGACCCAGATGCCTTGGGGGAACTCTGAGGAGTCCAGTTGGTGTCTAATCCACCAAAGAAGATTACTGTCAGGTGCCACTGACTGATCACTTATGTGCTAGGAGATCTGCTGGGACTTTGCATGCCATGTCTCATTGTGGCAACAGCGTGAGGGGAGCACTGTTGCTCCAGATCATGAAGAAGGACATTGAAACCCGGAAGGGTTAAGGTGCTTGTTCAAGGTCACCGCTAGCGAGTGGCAAAGCTGTCACTAAAACCCAGCATCTTTTAATTCTGCAGCCTGAGCTCTTCCCACCATTCCACAAACTTGTCACAAACCCACTGCCTCAGGTGGTTTACCAGCTGTACCTCACTCTCTGCCCTTAACCCAGTGTTTCTCCAGGGGAGCCCACCATCTAGGACAGGGTGGGTTTTTTGTCACCAGCCCTTGTCCTCCTGCTGCATGGGGAGGCTCACCAAGTGCAGCCAAGCTCCTGCAGGTGCCTGAGCCTGCCCCTGGTTATCCCCTCAGTGATCATGTCCGATGCCGCTGTGGAGCAGAGGCGGGCTCTGATCAGGAGGAAAAAGAGAGAACAGATGGGCACTCAGCCCCTGGGAGCCAAGGGGCTGACTCAGGAGCAGCAGACAATGATCAGAGAGCTGATGGATGCTCAGATGAAAACCTTCGACACCACCTTCTCCAATTTCAAGGACTTCCGGGTATGAGGCTCTCTCTAGTTGGCTCAGACATTATCCTAGCTCCTCAAACCCCCAGTCTTATTCCCAAGGGTTCTCAAAGAGTGGCCCCTGCCTGCACAGCAGTGGGGGCCCCAGGGAATGGTTAGAAATGCCAGTTCTCGGCTCACCCGAGACCTGCCAAATCAAAAACACTGACGGTGGGACCCAGTGATTGGTGTTTTGACAAGAACACCTAGGTGATTCTGACACGTGCTCAGAGAAAGAATCTCTGTTCTCTCCTTCCACAGCAGGTAGTAAAGTGGGCCTGAGCCAGAAACAGAGTTTTGGAAGCTGAGTTGCTCCAGGGTGGTTGGCCCTCAGGGCCTTCTGAGGACAGGCCAGGGACCTGTTTGGAATCTGGCATTTGTGAAAGGGTTTTATAGATCTAAGACACATTTGTGATCTCAGCAATGTCACCCATGTCTGATCCTGGTGCTCTCTTCCTGCTCTGTGCTCACAGGTGTATCTCAGGCGATTGGCTCCACTCAGAGAGCTGGCAGCCAGTGACCCCTGGAGTCTGTCCTTTCCATCTGCGGCTCCCACAACCTCCTTTTTAAGTCAGGGATGCTTGGAACACACCCAGAGGTGGAGATCCCTTACATTCCGCTGGGCAGAGAGCAAACCCATTTCTGACCAGGCAGGGATGGGAGGGAACATTGATAGATCCAGGAAGTATGCCACTTGACAGGAGAGGACCAGAGAGAAGGAACAAATACTTGCGTGCACGCACACATGCACATGTATGTGCACGCACGTGCGTGTGTGTGTGTGTGTGTCTGCACTTGGCATCCTCTCAGGCTGCAGCAGTGGCCTGTGTAGAAACCTGTTTGGGAGAATACATGCTGCCTCTCCTGTCCTCTCTCCATCTTCCGGCTCCTGTCCCAGCTGCCAGAAGCGCCCAGCAGTGGTCATGAGGTTCCGGAATCCCTGCAGCCTGCAGCGGGGGAAGAAGCTGCCAAGTGGAGCCAGATCAGGGGAGATCTGTGCTCACTGAAGGTCTCTCTGCGGCTGCGGGCAGAAGACGGCAGCATCTGGAGCTACAGACCCCAACCTGATAGCAGCGGGAGAGAGATCTTTTCCCTGCTGCCCCACATGGCTGACATGTCAACCTACATGTTCAAAGGCATCATCAACTTTGCCAAAGTCATCTCCCACTTCAGGTAGGACACGGCGGTGGGGTGGAGGGGTGTGGAGAGGAGCAGGCAGTGGCCAGCAGATTTAAAGGGTCTAGGGTAGATTCCTCTGAATTTGGGGGATGTTGGTGCCAAAGGACCCTCCCTTATCTCCACCTACCCTTTCCATCAATAGGCAGAGGGCAGGTTATATTGTAGGAGCCCACCTGTTCCCCTGTGACACTGAGGCCTTGTTTAATGGGGTGAGGGTGGCCACGAGTCAGATGGTAGCACATTAGATTAGGGGAGTAAGAGAAAGGCCTGCCTGCACGTGTGGATCTTGGCAGATCCCCACTGACATCCGGTGACCTGCAATGGAACATCATGGTGTGAGATTACTTGCCATTTCTTGTGAGCACGGTTGTGAGCTCTGTCTCCCCTAGAGGTGTGCATGATGATCTCCTTCATTCTACAAATAGAAAACTGAGGTTCACCAAGGTCAAAGAACTTGCATAGGTTCACAGTTAACCAGAATGGCCAGATTTGGGAGCAGAGAGCGCAGAGTTCAAAGCCAGCTACCCACCAGGTCCTGAGCCAGCGCTGGGAAATAGAATAAGATCGACTTCCTGGGATTATAGATCTGAAAGAAAGGGGCTTGTGCAGAAAAAAAGGGACCAAATTTCTGAGGAGACCAAAGACAGGCAGGGGGCCCCTCAACAGCCAGCCTAAATGTTGTTCCTTCTGGGGTCTTAGTAGAAATGCTCCTCCGTGGGGAGTCGGGAACTCGCAGATTGGGGGGCTGGTGTCAGCCTAAACATGAATTTCAGAGGTGGCCACTGTGTCTTGGCCTGGCCTCAGAGCCGGAAGGGGGCTCAAGGCATCTGGGCTGCCTTGAGCGAAGCGATAGAAACAGTCAATCCATAACAGACAGCAGGAAGCAGATATGCCTACGGGCATGGAGCTCCTGCCAAAGGAGCGGCGCCAGAGGAAGGACTTCTGGGAGGTGCCGCGACAGCCTGTCTTGAACGACCAGCAGGATTTACCTAAAGGGAGGCCAGAGGGGCGGTCATCCCAAGTGGGGAAATTGAGGCAGAAACTGGAGGCTGGGGAACTGGAGCCGCGGCATGGACCGTGGACCAGTGGCTGTGGGGGAGTTGGAGGAGATGGGCTGGACTGTAGGGGAGAGCGGGCTGCATTGGCAGCACAGACCCCAGCAGCAGGAGCCCCGTGGGAGGTGTGGGGAGGAGCAACCTGCTTGGCTGCTGTCAGAGAAAGGATTGGAGGCGAACTGAAAGCATCTGCAGCCCCCCGTCCCCCCACCCCAGCCACATTTCTGGATATGTGAGGAGGGTGGCCTGTAGCCCCCAGTCTGGAAACTGGCACGCCCCCCCCATCCTCGCTGCTAGGGATTTGCCCATCGAGGACCAGATCTCCCTGCTAAAGGGGGCCACATTTGAGCTGTGCCAGCTGAGATTCAACACGGTGTTCAACGCAGAGACGGGAGCCTGGGAGTGTGGTCGGCTGTCCTACTGCTTGGAGGACCCTGCAGGTGCCGAGAGCCGCCCGCCTGCCCCAGCGGAGAGGGGGGGAGCAAACACGAGCGTGGTGGGAGGGGAGGAGACACATCAGGACAGGCGGAGGGTCCTGGGGTTGCAGGCAGAGACCGGGTGACGGGCAAACAAGCCCTCTGTGAGGGAAGGCTGAGAATTTTGCCCACTCACAGGTGGCTTCCAGCAGCTTCTCCTGGAGCCGGTGCTGAAGTTCCACTACAGGCTGAAGAAGCTGCAGCTGCATAGGGAGGAGTACGTGCTGATGCAGGCAATCTCTCTTTTCTCTCCAGGTGAAGATCCCACCAGGCCTGCTTGGCCACTCCTCCCCAGCCCCAGGCTTGCTTGCACTCCCTCAGCTTTAGGAGGAGGCAGCAGGCCCACCCCTGCCCTCCCCAGGGAAGGCCTCTGGCCTTGTCCCTGTTTGCTGCATGGCCAGGAGGGGGTCCCTGGCTGGCTTCTCCCTGGGTCGGTGGGGTGATGTCCCCTCCGAGTGCCACCCTCCCTTCCCTGCCTGGGTGCCTCTGGCTCCAGAAGGTGGCCATTTGCGCTCTCTGGCTGGCCCCGCTCTTGTCTTTGCCCCCACGGCCTTGCTGGCACCACGCTGTCTTCCCGTCCCCCGCAGACCGACCGGGTGTGGTGCAGCGCAGCGTGGTGGACCAGCTGCAGGAGAGATTTGCCATTGCCCTGAAGGCCTACATCGAGTGCAGCCGGCCCCAGCCTGCCCACCGGTGAGCAGCAAGCAGGGAGGGTGTGAGGGGGTCCCTCCAGCAGCTCCGTCCTCTAGGCGCCCCACCTGTTCTGGGCCTCTCAGAGAGGGCAGGCCAGAGCTTCTCCTGGGGCAGCCTCTGACTCCCGGGGCTTTGGGGCCCTGTTCTGTGACCTCCACTAAGGCCCTGGCCCCATCAGCCTGAGTTCCAGCCCAGCAATGGAGAAACTTGAGGGAGGGCCAGAGGCCATGCCCAGCTGTGAACGTTGTTCCTGTCTGCCCTTTTCCACTCCTGTCAGCAGGAATAGGAACCACCAGGGAGTTCCCCCAGAGGCTCCTACAGGCTCTTCTACCAATAGCCAGCAGTAACCAGCATGGTAGTAAAAATAACCATGTCAAAAACCGTGATGGTAATAATAAATAAATTTGCACTGAGAAGTGCCAGCCCTGGGGCCAAGCAGTTTACATGATTTGACCCCTTTAATCTTGAACACAGACCCATGAAATGGGTTCCACCACTACCCTGCAAGGGGCTGGAGACCCAGGGCAACTGCCTCAGGGTCCCCAGCCAGGTGGGTGGGATCTGGAGGTGGCAGCAGGTGGTCCTTCTGAGTGCTCCCCGAACAAGCACAAGCAGGCAGGGTAGGAAAGTCCGTAGTTTGTGCTGGCCACAGCCAAAGGAGGAAGGCTGCTCGGGGCTCGGCCAGACAGGGGTTTCCATCCCTGCCCTGGCTCTCAGCAGTCCTACGGGCCCAGGCCTTGAGGGATGAAGGCCTGCACGAGGTGTGTTGGCTGAACTTCAAACCCCAAGTCCTTACTTGGCCCGCATTGACTTTATTTTGAGCTCAGCCTCTGGGCCACATCCTGATTTTCTTGGTCGTTCCCTGCATGGAGCTGGGAGGCATCACGCAAAAACTAAGGCATGAGGCTGGTCTCAGATGCTAGATCCTGGGCTGGATCCAGGAAGGATCAGCAGGTCATCCTGTAGTTGCTGCCTCCACGACTCCGCTGCTCGGTCCTGGCCCACAGCCATGCGCCAAGGCCATGTTGTTCCCTAGGTTGCTCTCTGTGCCCGGCCCCTGCAGTACCTGGATTTTCCCATGGAGGGCATGAGAGGTGAGGGAGGAGTGTAAGTCCACACCTCAGTCCCTCCAAGTCTGTTCTGCACTTCTCATCCGCAGACTAGGAGGAGCTCAAGGAATTCGACTGAACCTTGTCTCTTGGCTTGCCTGAGATGTTCTAAGAGTAATACCCTCAAACCTGTGCAACTTCAAAGCAGTCCCAGGGTTGGTGGATGGGGACAAGGGTGGGCCACACCCCCAACTATTCCTCTGGCTGGCCTGCAGGTTCCTGTTCCTGAAGATCATGGCCATGCTCACCGAGCTCCGCAGCATCAATGCCCAGCACACCCAGAGGCTGCTGCGCATTCAAGACATACACCCGTTCGCCAGCCCCCTCATGCGGGAGCTGTTTGGCATCACAGATGGCTGAGAAGCTGCCCCCTTGGGAGAGCCTCTGGGGGGGTGGCAGCCGGAGCCAGAGCCCTGCCCTTAGAGCTGCCATTCCTGGATCTAGACAGATGGGTACCGCTGAGAGCTGACAATGCCCTACCGGTTGTGCCCACCCCAGGGAATCCACAACCACAGCTCTGACAGTGCTGCCTAGCGTTCCTCAGGAAAGGGACAAGGGTCTCCCTGGACTCCAACCCAGTCTGTGGAGAGGGAAGCCATAGACACTTCGGTGGACAGCAATGGCCCATCCAGAGGCAAGAGCACCCTCCCCTTAGAGATGGCCCTGTGGTCTGGGCATCTAGTGTCATGGTGGGAGAGGGGAAGGGGTGCCTGGGGCTGGACCATCTGAGAGTCTGTGCCCACAACCAGGATCATTAGCTTCTTGGATGTTTTCATTACATACCCCTGTGTCCCTCACCCCACTCATTCCCAGCCCTCAGCCACCTGTCCTGACCTGCTCAGTGAGTTTCCAGGCCTGTGTTCATCAGCAGGTGTATTTGTGTCTGCGAGAGGAGCCAGAAGGCCTGCAGCAGATGTCAGAGACTTGTCATGACCACTGTGTCTATTCTTTCTTCCTTCTGGACCCTCGTTCTGTGTCTTTGTAGCCATGCAAACACATTCGTAAGCACCAACAACATGCAGCTTTCTGTGGGGTATTTGCCAACTCAGACATAGCTCCTGAACTCCAAGACTTTCAAGTTCAACTTAACAAAGCAGAAACACAAGAGTTTTGATCCAAAGAAGTGGTAAGGACCACAAGAAGCATGAAGAATTTCTTCCTGTGAACACTGAGCTATGTGGGGTTCTGCACGCACCTGAGCACCCAAGTGAGGGATCTCTGGAACATGTGTTCGTGGGAGGAAGGGCACTAACTGGCTGAGTGCACATGTGCGTGACTTAGTGTAGGTTGGCTCTGCTTCTGACCTGGGGCTTGGGTCTGCCCCCAAGGGTGGAACACTAGGGTGCTCTCTGCAACAAGGTTACGTTAATAAACATGCTAGCTATCACACCCTGTATGCTCCTGTTTATACATCTGTTTGGAAAGCTAAAGAGTATGAAAGTGTTCGCTTTGTTTAACCCATTTTGAGTAAACATGTTTTTGCCTTTGGTACAACTTACCTTTTGACTAATTTTACGTAAGGCATTCTGCACCTAAGGACAAGATTTAGCAAATATGTTCCTGAGTTTAGTGTCAAATCAAGTAAAGAGGACTAAGTAATTAATTTGTGGCTAGAGATTTAAACCTTTTTTTTTTTTGTCTTCTTTTCTGGGGAAAAAAGAAATGTGGGGGTGGGAAAATAGAAATATTATTTCATAACATACATATCTATTTCTTCACTACTTGTTTTACTACTGCCCTTTGCACATCTGAAGGCTGTTGGTGTAAAAACAAAAATGATTTAACTTGGTTTGCTCATAAAACTATTCCAATAAAGATCCATATAAAGATGATACACCCTGCAATATAGTATATGTGTTGGTGTGTTTATGTACCAGAATTAAAACTGTAGTATTTGGATTAATTTTAAATGTCTAATGTTTTGAGGCAATGAAGCTACAAGTTAACTGAATTTTAAGGAACAGACACTTGATTAGCTTTTACCATTTTACAAGAAGCAGGCCAAACTCTGAGAACATAAGAGATTGCCGACACTATAAATCAAAGCAAACAAACATATTCCTTACCATCTCCTCAGATTTTCCAGCCTCTTCTGCATTAAGGATATAGAACACACACATTTTTAGAAAAGAAACTGAAGGGGAAAAGAGCTCCTCTCTCCCAATACAATGAATACAGATGAATTTGTTCCCAGGAATTTTGTCTAATTACACTCCTTGGGAAATATAAATTTTATTCCACTGAATTCATAAATCATATGCCTTGCCTCTTCCCCATTGAAATAATTTTGAGTGTGCTATTCATTCAAGAGCCCGAAATGGCTATTAAATACAGGCTACAGTAAGGCAAAATTAAGATGGGATGTAAACTCCCATATCGTAGTATTGATTTTAAAAATACCTGGGTAGCTGAATTGATATGTATGTAGGATTCATGTATCTTATAAAAATTATTGTAGCCTAAGTGTAGGTAAGATTCAAGGTGAGATACATCAAACTGCTCACACGGATACTTCAGTAGCTTTGTGGATCTTGACTTTACAGGGCTAGGAGCCAGACTCCACTTTGCTCCTCTCAAACATTTGGATGGCTCCATTACTCCCTTTCCTGAGCCTTTGAACACAGAACTAAGTGTCAGTTTCTAGGCATCCCTGTGGCTGCTGTTCATTTTTTAGGTCCTGTCTCAGGTGAGGATGAAGTCCATCTCCAAAGGTAGGAGAAAAGCCCTTCTAAGAAAGTACTGCTTGCCTGCTGGCCCCCTCATTAGCCGGAGGCACTCAGCAGCTAATCTCTACCTGGCCCAGACATTAAGAATCCAATTAAAGCACTGACATCAACAAATTTTCTTGTGGGAAGGCTGGGGGGGCCTCTCCTTTCTGGAGAAGAGGCTGTAAGTAGAAACAAGACATTTGGTTGACCGTCCCTTCCCAGTTTCTGACAACTCGTGGGCCCCATGCTGTGTTACACAGCAGCTTCCATTTCCTCCGGACACATTCCCTTAACATGCCCACAGTGCTGGTGAGCAGAATATGTTATACCTGAGAAACAGGAGGCTGAATCATCACTTTGGGTCACTTCCTTTCACAAACTTTTCCATGAAGAGCTCTGCAACCTGACCCCTCCCTTTCCTCACTACTCTTTCTAGAACACCTATGAAATGGCATCCACTACCACTGTTCTCCTGAAATGTGACCCGAAAGACAGGTTAGTCGGTACTCTTTGGAGGGCAGTCTTTCAGGCTTTTAAAAGGGTATCGTGCTCAATTCCAACTCAAATAGGGCAGGAAATAGAAGAGTAGTGAATCCCAAACACATCAAAGCCATCGGGATGCCCATCATCCCACAAGTGCCATCTTTATGTTTGCATTTTTCCCTCCTTTCCCCCTACCCCCTGCAACTGATAAACATGTTTAACTATTTTTCAAGTATTAGCTAACCCCACCACCACAATAAGTAAAATAAGCAAATAAACAGAGGAGCAGACTTTATCCAATATAAATTCGTTTTTATTGAAGCAGCAGTCACATGACTTCGTATCTAGCCTTTAGGCCTGACAAGAGTGAGCCAGCCCTAAAAAAAAAATGATGTTTCTTTTTGCACTAAGAGACATAACATGTTTACATACATCATCCAGTATTGGAAATGAGCAGATTCAAACACAACATGTGTTGGTTACCTGGAGGTACAGCCCCACGGTTTGTGGTGTTCATATATTTTACAAATACTCCCAAAGACCATTACTAATGGGATGAAAGTTAAAAGAAAATACAGCTACACCAAACCATGAACACAGTAATCAAAGACAGCAGCTTATACACATTTTAAAAATTTGTCCCTTTCAAGGACATTTTCTTTCTTTTCAAAGCAGTGTCTGCAAAGCTTCCTCTACATCAAATCCAAAGGTTTCCAAGATGGAAGCTGCACCTCTTGGGGCTATACAATGGAATACGATAATTTAAAGAACGAGAACTAGTGTTCATATCTTGATTTTAGAACAAAGATCCATGTTTCTCTAATTGGAGGAACGGAGATGGTGATGTGACTATATATTTCAGTAGCAAAATAGGCAGGGTAAAGAAAAGAGGGGTGGGTACTGAAATAAAGACCACACACTTGTGAATTTTAATTTCATTTCCAGGCTAACCTACTTTTTATTTAATGCAAATTACAGTACCAGTTAACTATTTCCAAACCAAGTCACATAGAACAAAATGTATTTACAAGGGAATGGGGAAAGGGGAAAAAAAAAAACATTGAGCATACTTTTCACAAAAAAGTTTATATTTAAAATGAAAAAAAAAAATCAGTCACAGAGGCATTCAAGTAGTAATAATGTTATACAGATTTTGCTTTTCCTTTATATCAAGACAGATTTGCACAAGTGTTTGCAATAGTTTGTATACAACCCACAGTCCTTTATATATATATATATATATATATAATAAATTTTGCTTAGATTTGTTTTTAAGATGGAAGTGGTCACGCTAATTGGTATGTGTACAGGCCCAAGTGATCCATCGGCAACACATTTATAAATGCAAATTTTACAGGCAAGCACATTTTCATACATCTATCTGTATCTGCCTGTAGACAGATATAGTAAGAAAAAAAAAAACTAAAAATGAACACAAGGAAGTCTACTTTGTCAAGCTAACCCCTTATGTACTGGTTGTCATTTTGCTTTTATTGCAGAGGTGCAAAACGGAGCAACAAACTTGAATAAAACATCATAACCCTTGTGAAAATAATCCAAACCCCAGGGATTACTTTCAAAGCCTCTCAAACGTAGACCTTAATCTGGGACTCTACTCTGCTTCTAGTTGTCTTTTTTTTCAGTGGCTCAGGTTTCTACCAGAAAAGACAGATTTTATTGTAAAGCATGCTTACTTTATTTTTCTATATAGGGGAGAAAGTGTTCGGCTCTGTGATTAGATGATCACTAACATGAACAACAGAAATCAGATATAATTTTGGTTTAAAAAACAAAGGAAAAAAAACCCCAAACTCCTGGGGATCTGGCATTGGCCAAGCTTCCTTTGGAAGATTCCAAAGTTAAATCCCTTAAAAAGGAAAGGGAAAAAGAAATGAAATGCCAGTGTCTTTATATCCACAGGGATAGAGAATACAACAGTCCTCTCAGAAACCTTTGCATTGGTGCAGACAAGATGACTGGTTAGGCAGGCTTTGTTAAAACATAAACCAAAAATATGTGTCTAAAAATTAAGAGGACTTAAGAAACAGACACAACATGTCACTGGAAAGAAGGTGCAGTCTTCTGCCTTGTTGGAATGAACACACGATGTTTCAAAAATAGCAACCTTTGGTTTGGTAAAGTTTGTTTTTTCTTCTACTCAAGACATCTTATATGGAATACTTGGAGGCAAAACAAATTTTATTTTTTTTCTTTCAAAAAAGGCCTTCATGATGGGCACACAGTAAGAATTAAATTTTTTAAGAAGGAAATGAAAATGACATTCCACTGAACAAGGGGAGAGGTGGCAGGAGGGAGGCGATGGGCTGAGTTCCCTCGTTAATACGACAGTCCTCTCTCGGCACGGTGGCACTCAGCACAGTAACTGCTCGTAGTTGCACTAGAGCATTTTGGACCGCTGATGGAGCAGAACCTGATACTATTAAGCAACTTGGATTTATAAAAACCAACTCTCTCTTTTTCATTTGGGAAGGAAGTAGATAAGGGGGAGAGAGCATGGAAGGCTCCTGGAATTTGCTGTTTCTAAGACCCATGGAAGGAATTTGGGGAAGAGATGAGCAAACTCGAATCTATTGGGTCTCTTCCAGCTCTAGGACTCCCTGGCATGACACAAAGTCCCTGGGTGGACCAATTATGAAATGAAACCGGTCACTGCTACTGACTGAGGAGGAAACAGCTGCTCAGAACCAAAACAGAGGCAGGGCTTAAACACAGTGAGAGCATGAACACGGTTTCCTCTTTCCACTCCTGAGCATGGTATCACTGAAATTAACTGTGGAAGGGGCAAAGACACTGTTAGGAGTGAGTTATTATTTCAAAGGGAAAAGGATAGGACAGGGAGACATGGATAGAAAAACCAATTAAAATTTGAGAAATGAAAAACAAAAACAAAAACAAACACATGGAAGCGAAGGCACTCCAAACTATATAGATACACTATACATTGCTAGAGTTATTGTTACAATAATACAGGCCGGCACCTACTGTACAGTTAAAACTATATGGCTTTAAAAAGCTCGTCTACATTTTGTCTGATTATTAAACAGAATCACTGCCCTGAACAGTAACTTTTTGCTCATTAATTAACAGTTCCTGGGTCCACATATTTACATACAAAACAATAAAACTTAAATTTAAAAACATTGAAAGAAAATATAATGTACAAGCTTGAATTTGGTGAGGAGCTTTTTATTATTATTATTATTATTATTTACAAAAAGATATTCAGAGACCTGGATCTCACTTGTATAAAAGAGTTCTGTGATACCACCATGATCCTTGAGAAAAAAATCATGCACCTCAGCCCTCACACACACACATACAGAAATGAGAGAAAAGCATCTGACTTTTCTCTTTTTCTCTTACCCCATTCATGGGGGCAAAGGGGGGTGTTTCCTAAAACAAGCACAGATTTTTATGGACTCTAGCAAATACACTAAGTCCAGAGTAGTGTCTGTGTCCAAATGTTTGGCTGGGCAGTTTGGTGTGAAAGCAGGTCCTTTTCTCTGCCATAGACCTGCTGTTCAGCTTCTTTATAAATCCCTTCCGAAAATGGTCTACCAAAGCATTCCCTTTAGAAATTACCCGGCCAAATACTTTGATTCAGACTTCTTTCAAAGCTTAATTAGCTCTCAGAAGCACATTATGAAATGTAGAAGTCAATTTGTTCGATTTGGTTTGACTGAGTGTGTTTCCTTTCTCACGAACTCTGATATAACCAGAGGTTGGAAAAACCCCTTTTGAGGCCAAAGAGCTTAGCTAAACAGTGAGTGAAAACTAAGATGGCTCACAGTTGCCCTTCTGGGTACTGGTTCACTTCAGCAGGCAGTAGGACTCTCTTGGAGAGTCGCACACACTTGGTAAAGAAGCAGGACAGGGTACTGGGACCTGCGTTGAGGGCTGCCAAGAGACTCCACTTCCGAATCACCTGGAGGGCAAGACCCCTAACACGACCTAAGGTGGCAATGAGGAAGGTGAAGGGAGGTTACACATGATCGAGGGCTCAGCTCTATCGCCCTACAGTTATCAACTAACCTTGGAAGGTGTGTAGGGAAAGACTGGGTAGAAGGGAAAGGTGGCCATCACTCAAGTGATCTTTAAATGTAAAGTACAACTGATTGTGCCTTAAAGATTCATAGGTCAAGTAATGGCCCATAAGCACCAAGGTGACTAAGGTTCATTTTAGAGTATATAAGGCCCACAAAGATGTCAACCTTAAAAGTATAAAACAAACTAGTTGTGAAAATCTATTTCCTCACTGCAAACATAATCCTTCAATCTTCTCTGCTTTCCAAGGAATATTGCTTTTTCTTCAAAAACAGGAACTGAGTCTTACACTATTCACTGATACACAAAGAAAACAGAAACAGAAACTCTTAGCTGGGTGTGGGGGGAAACATTCTTCTCATGCTTCAACCAGTTGATTTTGATACTGTGGACAAAAACAAAAATAAAAGGCAGTATTGAATCTATGTATATATAACATATATACACACACACATTTATAGCTTTCCTATAAAGTCAGCAGGTACACGTGACTGTTTATACCATTTTGATGTGTAGTTCTTAATATTCCTACCATCTAAAACCACAATGGTCTATTTGACATACATCAATAAATAAAATTTTAAAAGCATGAGGTTAAAAAAAAAAAGCTGAAATTAAATACAGACTCTAGATTTGGATTTAAAATTAGAACTATGTGCAGAATGTGGCAATTTCTGCAAGCTCAATTTGTAATTAAAAATATGAAAAATAAACCAGTAGACTGTTACAGTTCACATTATTTAACTATAATGTCCTCTCAAGTGTATCTTTCCAAGGGAAGCAACTTTAGAAACAAATGTGGACAAATTCATTCACAGTGGTGAGATCTGCTCTTGACCTGTCCCTTCCTCCAGGTTCATCAGCTTTTGACCTCTGCAGCCAGAGTGACTGGCTCAACATCCTTTTCAGTCTTCTGGTCACTAGTTTCAAACTGTACTAAGACTCGCAGAGAACCTTTGGTCAGGCAAACAAAGATCCACCCTCAGAGCACGTATGCTCCTCCTTTGATAGCCTCCAATTTAAGTTTCTTCACCACTCACACTGATTAAGAGCAAAAGAAAACCTTATCAAGTCAATTAAGAATCTTCAAACTTTATTGACCTCCCTGGGTTACATACAAATGATACACATTTTCTTTTTTGTCTGCCACACCTGCCACCAACATGCCAAAGGCAAGTCTTCAAATACCCGAGGATATGGATTAATTTTACAAGTGACATTGAAGTCCCCACTGAGTTACACCTGCTAAGCTCCCAACCAATTTCAAGCTGTGCACTATACCAAAGTCTTACACTTGACGTTAAAAGAAAACAAAGTTCAAAAAAACTTCAGCACAGAACAAAGTCGTCTTCTTTTGCGGAAGGGGCATGAGGCAGGAGTCCTGTTTTTAAAGTATACAACAGCAGACTTTTGATAAAAAAAGATTGTCGTGGGAGAGAGATTGTGTGTTCTAGTGCTCCGCTTTCCCCTCCCCACAACCCCTCCCACCCCCTGGATCTCCCTCAAAGTGAGAATACAATGAAATTGGTTTGTATTTATAGATATTTTACAAGGTTAAATAAGAACAACAATAATAATAAAAAAATTGAACACTAAAATGAGCAGGTTTTTTTCTCTTTTTAATTTTCTTTCCAAACGTGACCAGTGTTGCTGAGTGACACTCAAGTAACTGGTGGTTTTTCCCGTGCAGCTGCTGGCTGCTCGGGGCTGTTCAGGTGGAGTTGGAAGCTGATGCAGAAGCGGCGTTGTTGGTCTGTCCACGGTCTCCGGCATTAGCATCTGCAAATTGAAAGTCCCAAGAGAGAGCATGAGCGATGCTTCAACACCCCAAAGAGAAAAGTACACTGCCTCAACTGCGGACCGAGCTGTGTGGTCTTCCAAGCTGTATCTGAAAAGGTTGTTTAAATATGGCCGATACTATGAAATCTGAATTTCTTTCTGCATTGAGCTGAGTCCATGCCTTGGCCTGGTGTTTGGTGTAGGAAAGACAAGTGTCTTTGAGTTAGTTGGGGTCCGAGTAGCAGTACATGCATGAATACTCAGTTGGGAGTCTGGCTCACTTGAAAATAAATAAGTGAACAGTGCACAGCTGGGAACACTTGCTAAACATTCTGAAGCAGGTTAGAGTTCGCCATCTGCTTAAGTGGGTAAAACGGGTGGAGGCACTGACCATAACATGGGTCAGCACTGAGAGGTAGAAGCACCATGTGTAAATCAACCTCAGCTGCTTACTTTCTAAGTATAGTTCTTCTTCACTATTTGTAGAAATGGAAGATAATGAGCAAAAAAGGAACAGCCACTGCAGGACTGATTCACTTCTTCAATTCAAAGAAGCATCTTGCAGTCAAATATCTTGGCACAGAGCTTACTTCACCTCATCTTTTGGAAATATGTCTAACTTTATATTTAACTTTAACTCCCCTACACCCCTTTTAAGGTCCATCATTATTTCACGGCACCTATTAACATTTAAGTGGGCATTTAGTTGCATCTGGACCAGCACTGCCTCTCAGGCAGACAACAGACTGCTGTTTCAGTTGCCCGTCCAGCCATGTCCCTGTGCCATTGTGCATGTGACTGCTAATACATCCTACTGGGCATATTTTCTCCCAAACACTTGACACTGAGCCCTGAGCAAGAAGAGAAGTGGCTTGACTGGGATGGATAACTTCTAAGAGCCGTCTTCCTAGAAGTCATACTGCCCTTGACCATCAAAGCTGGTGATACCAAAAAAACAAGTTCCGAAGTTTTGTCTCCCTCAAGACTGAAATGCTCCTATATCCTTTGAAGAGTAAACAACTGTCATAGCTGAATGTAACATCTGTCTTTGGATCTTTTTTGTTTCAATTTTTTAATTACAGCAAGAAACAGAAGACCCCAAGGACACACAGGAACGCTTTATTTAAGGATTAGCTGTTCGGTTTATCATTCCAATGGCCACTCTATAAAAACTACACATCTTTTCTAAATTCCTGATTTTCCTGCCCTCAAAATAATCTGCCCTTATATACATTTAACTCAGCCTTTGGGGAAGATGTCAAATCTCTCAATTTGACTGGTTATGTTTAATTCATTTAATTTCCTTCAAAAAAGTTATAGCTGCTTCTAGTCCTGTTTTCATGAAAATAAGTGCAAACATTACAGGATCAGGGTCCATGCATGGAGTCATATTAAATCATTATATGGCACATGGGACAGGTGGCAAGGTATATAACACAGAACCTTTCTTCGAAGGCAAGTACATGCCTTTTCCAATAATCACTACATAACTATGTCTAATACTTCAGTCATGACTCCTGGTCTTTCTTATATGCCATTCCTAGTGCGAATTTTACTCTTCAATGATCAACCAAATTCTGTCATCAATGAGAACATCAATTTCTGTCCAGGTCACATGTTCCTGTAAGGATTTCTCAAGAAAAACAATCATTTTTGTAATTCAGGCACAGGCTGCTTTAACTTACTTAGCCACCCAGGCGCTCCCGCAGGCTGCCTTAAAAACAAGTCTAGCAAATGCCTGAAAGGCTGCAGAGCTATTTCAGAACGATAATGATCCTCACAAATCCAAACTTACTGTAGTATTTCCCATGAGTTGGAGGACACTGAGAACCTATGCGTGATCATCATCAAACAGCACTTCTCTCTTTTTAGTATGTGAAGAGGACAGGTAAAACTTTCATGTTCTGGTCTTCCAGACTTAAGAGATTTCCCAATCATGAGGAATTCACCAGCTTGACCATGACAGGCATGAGCTACACTGGAGGACACCCACTAAGGTTCATTTACGTAGCCATCCAGTTCATTATGTTAATTTACTCTCTAGCAAAATCCTATTGTGTGTATGAATTTGAAGAAACAAATTCAACTTCTAAATAATAAAATTTGAAAAGACATGTAGTCTCCTCAGGTTTGTAATTTAATGATTTCATTACTTTTTTCTCTGAATTATCTCCATATCCCCTATTAAGTAAAATTTTAATAGCTAAATATTTTGATTATAAATATCCTTGAAAGCTCAAGTCACGGCACTGTATTCATTCATCAAACAAAAACAAATAATCTTTGCCTGCTGCAACAAATTACATTTAAAATCAAATTATATACATCCTTTGTGAGAAAAAGAACAGGAAGATGTTTTTCAGAGGCAAAGTACAGGGAGGAGAAATACAACAAAGAAAATGGAAAGTTCTACAACCTCAAGAGTAGCTCCCACAGAACACCAGGCTTACTAACTGAATAAAACTACATTTTTTTAAGTTCTTCTTGGTACATACTTACTTTGCTCCTACTGCCAATTCTGTAAGCTTATTTTACATAGTTGAGTTAATATGGCCTTTTTACAATAAAAATGCTCGTTAATTAAAAACTGTCACTGGATTTGGATGTTTAGTAATTTCTTTAACATTTCTTCTCAAATATTTAAACAGAAACTCCTTAAAAGGGCACCTGGGTGGCTCAGTGAGTTAAGCCTCTGCCTTCGGCTCAGGTTGTGATCCCAGGATTCTGGGATCGAGTCCCGCATCAGGCTCTCTGCTTTGGCTGGGAGCCTGCTTCCTCCTCTCTCTCTGCCTGCCTCTCTGCCTACTTGTGCTCTCTGTCTGTCAAATAAAAAAAAAAGAAACTCCTTAAAAGCACCACAATTCATTTTGCTCCTGTCTCCAACATTCCCTTTTCACATTCATACTGGTAAAAGTGAGGCTTCCTGGCGTTATGGTTTTAAGGACAGCTAACAACTTTTGATTATAGAGCATCCAATTCAACTACAAATAACCAAAGACCGTACAGTCTCGTTTTTAGTCCTGAGATGCTATCCTGAAATTCAGTGATACATCTTTCTTCAATCTCGTCCAGCTCCATAAACACTGAGAATGAGACCCAGCTGTACCACTTAATAGCTATGTACCACGTAACAGCTTTGTGACAATAGAACAAATTATTTAACCTCTTTATTCCTTAATTTCCTCATCTGTAAAATGGAGATACTACCACCTGTCTATGAAATAAGGCCTAGGAAGGTCTCAGCACAGTACCTGGGTATAGAAATTGTTCAGTAAGTGGAAAGGCAAAAGAGACATCTAACAATACATAAACTGTACAGTTTAGTCTGACTATAATAATCATCACCACCATAATGTCAGTAGCAGCAACTGTTATCATTTGAATGCTTACCAATGTACCAGACATCATACTATGTACATTGCAGGTACACACCCAAGAAATAGGTACAATTACTGCCCCCATTTTGCAGATGGGAGAAATAAGCACAGAGGTATTAGAGGACGAGAATGATGGCCTTTATGGTTACTACAAGGGACAGCAAAGGAAGAAAAGAACCTAAGGGGATTTTCATTCAGACCTAACTCCTACATAATTCACTATGATTTCTAGAAGCCTATTTCTATTATCTAAAAAGGGTTACTACATTAGAACAGATCTGGGAATTTATAATAAGAAATAAAAGTACAGTTATTTTATTTCCTAATTCTTAGTCTGTATAGGGTATGCAAAGATAAAAGTGTTTTGGAAACAAATACAGAGGTGATTATTTCAGGCTTCCTAGAAACCAATGTCCCTTACCATCCTTCTGATGCTACTTCAGAACCAAGCAACCAAAGAAGGACTTGAGGAATAGAGAGAATGATCAGCTTTGAGGGACAGAGGTATTAAGATCATTCTTACACACTTGGTAGCCCCCTTCCAAGATGGCCCCAATGAGTCATGTCTTCTGGGTGTTTATGCCCTAATGTAGTCCCTTCCCCCCAAAATAGGGCTGACCTATGTAACCAACAGGATATTTGCAGAGACAATGGTGTATGACTTTCAGAGTTAGGACATAAAAGATACTGTGGATTCTACCTTGCCCTCTTCCTTGGATCAGTTGGTCTATGGAAAACCAGCTGCAACAATGTGAGACACTTAAGTGGCCTTATGAAGAGTTGGTACAAAATGGTAAGGGACTGATGCCTCTCGTAGCCGGGACTGATTTGCTAATAAGCACAAAAATGAGTCATCCTGGAAGTACATCTTCTAGCCCCAGGTAAGCATTCCAATGTCTGCAGCCCTAGCTGACATCTGACTACAACCTCATAAAAGACCCTGACCCAGAACTATCCAGCTAGGCTGCTTCTGAATTCCTGACCCACGTAAACTATGTGAGATAATAAATGTTTATTCTTGTTTTAGGCTGCTAAATTTTGGGGTATCTTGAACATACATACAGGTCAAATAAGTTAAATGCCAGGTAGAATTTATGCCCACAAGCCCATGAGAGCATCCCTGACCTAGTCCCTCTACAAGATATGTATGTCCGCTCCTAATAAAATATACAAAAGACAAGGAAAATTGCATCAGATGATCACTTGTTTTTCCCTAATTCTAAGAAGAGTCTATGGTTCTATGGCTTTTGTGCTGGATATGGCAAAGGGAATTTGTACATGTATTTAATGAAACCAGTTTTATTCTGTGTGACTTCAGATATAAAAATGACAAGTGGGGCAACCCCATAGCGAAGCTAAGGGTGATGCCCCCTAAGGTATCATGTTCCCAACAGAATCCATGAGGCTGTAACTTTTATCCTAGATAAAATTTTTATGTGTAAAATTCCATATATGATACACATATATTTTTTTAGGATTGGACCCACAGTTGCTCCCCCACCTCCCCTCCTATATTCTCAGAGATCTCTAAGAGTCATGGATTTATTGAGCTGCTGTCTCAATACTGAGGAAAATGCCCCACCTAGTTGCTCAGGTCATAAACCAAAAGTTGTCACCATGATTCTTTACTTTCCCTACTCCCTACATCTAATGCATCAGCAACTCCTGTCCATTCTCCCTCCAAACGTGTTTAATCAAATGTGGCAACGAGGGAAGGAAAGTGAATGGAAGACCCCACATTTATAAACTGTTGCCAAAGTGTTTAAATAAAAAGAGAGCAGCAAATAAGAAAACAGGTTGGGAGGAAAGCATAGTGAGTAACATAGGAGGCTGGGATTCCAAATGTTCTGCCACCATGAATCAGTGTTCTGCAACTAGAGATCTATCTAAAAGATAAAGCCTTTTAAGTGATACAAGTTTTCACTGTTTGGCCTGAAATGTTCTATTTGTACTCTCTTATAGGGTGGCTGCTAACTATATATGGTTACTTCATTTAACTGAAATTAAGTAAAAATAAAAACTTCGCTCCCTATTTATCATAAATACATTTCAAGTTGCTCAAAAACTACAAAATCTTTAATATTTTTTATCATTGGCAGATTAGCAAAAGCACATATTTCAAATATCAAATTCTTTTCATATTTTATATGTACTTTATAAGTATGTTTGGTTAACTTTAAGTACACTTTTATTTCCTTATTTCCTTTACGCTCTCTGAGCCCATTTCATGTGTTTCTATTTACTACTATCTCATTCTATAATAGTTACAAATGTCTCATGACAGGTCAACTTTTCTAAAAGATAAAATTTATACTCAGAAAGTTCCTATTCAAGCTGTTCCAAGTGGAAATATCTTTATTAAAAAACTATGTTTCAGGGGCACCTGGGTGGCTCAGTGGGTTAAGCCTCTGCCTTCGGCTCAGGTCATGATATCAGGGTTCTGGGATCGAGCCCCACATCGGGCTCTCTGCTCAGCGGGGAGCCTGCTTCCCCCTCTTTCTCTGCCTACCTCTGATCTCTCTCTCTGTCAAATAAATAAATAAAATTTAAAAAAAAAAACAACTATGTTTCAGGTGTTAGTGTTACTAACTGACACAGGAACAAAAAAGACCATTTTTTCACAGAGAATCAAATGTACACTCTAAACTTACATTTAAATTGAAATCATAATCTACATTAGTGAAATAAAAATATAAAGTATAAAGGGAAGGACTCAATTTTCGTTTTTCTCTTTATAATGTCTACTATGACTTTGACAATTTGGGGTGTATAATAACGAGGGGGGGGTAACCCCTCCTCAGCAAAGTATTATTACCTCTCTTTCTTCATTTTTCTGAGGAAAAGGTGTGACACAAGACACCAAAGTGGCTTCACTCATTTCAAAAACATGACTGCAATTCAGATGCCAGTGAGCCAACCAAAAAACTAACAAAGTTGGAGGGCCTGTCAATAAGACCTTATATCTTATCTGCCAGCAGCAGAGAGATCTTAGATACTCTGGGCTCAAGGGTAGAGCACATTTTAATTAGGAGGGTTGGTTGTTCAGCGTAGGTAACTGAAGGCCGTGAGAACACAGGAAACATTTTCGCCTTTTAGGTTAAAAGATCTAATTTGGAACAAAGAATGAGAAAAGGAATATGAGTATCAATAGGTGACTTCAGGCAAGGAACTGAGGAACATTTGAAGAACATCTAGAAGAACGTTTCATACAACATTTCTCAACTTAAGATGATTTTACATTACTTTTGGAGGGGGGAGAAATTCAGGTAAAATTTTTGACTCAATAGGAGAAAACATGTTTTGAATAAAAAGAAACAATTTCCTTGAAGTGATACTTAACGACGCTCTGAGGAAAATAATGACTAAGCAGGCTTGACTGGTTTTCTGTGTAGCTTTACACAGAAAACCAAAAGAAGCCAAAAGGAGGAAAGGGGTATAGCACTGTACCTAAAAAAGACACCCACATTCTTTGGCTACCAAGTTGGTAATACCTAAAAACATATGTGCACACATGCATGCAGCACCTTCCCCACCCCACTCTGGGCTGCCTAATGTTAAGGTAATGGGAGAAATGGAAAAATACGTGCACTGCAAGCGGGCAGTATAATCTGGGATAAGCTTTTTGGTAGGCATTTTGATATATATCAAAATCTTAAAAAAATTATTATCTTTTGACTTGGCAATTATACTTCTAAGCACTGAGATATAATACAAATGTCTAAGAATAAGAAATCAAGTTAAATAAATTATGATACAGGCTTAGGATACACAGTTATATACCCCCATCCCTTGAATAGCGGGACCCATTTAAAAAAAAAAAAAAGAAGAAGAAGAAGGCATCTCTCTTTGCCCATTCATACACAGACTAAAATATAAAATGACGTTACCTTTCATTATCTTTGGAAAATACGCAAGACTTTTATTTTCTAAAATAACTATATATTATTTTTTAACAGAAAAAAATCCCCATATTTTAAAAAGCTACGTATTTTTAGAAATTCCATATATATTTGGGTTAATATAAAGAGAGAACAGAAATGAAAGGGTTGGGAAAAGGAACACTTGGGGGCAATACCCTGATGATGATAAAACCAGACAAGATATGGATATAACTTTCCCAAAGCACACTGTACATTGGCAAAGAGGCAAAGGATAATAGTACTTGGGGAGGGGATGAAAGGATGGTAACTATGATTTTAGAAAGTATTTGATCCATGGGCTTAATTTGTCTAACATTTCAACTCTCAAAATTAGTAGAAACAAACAAACAATGGGATAAATTATTCTGGGTTTAATTCTGCCCAACTAGAAATAACTGGCTGGTGATGTAGGTGACAGGAATTCTGAAGTAATAGTATGTAAAGGGAACCATGGGCCCTGGCTAAATCTGAGCCATGACCTCAGTAAAATGGATTTCAAAAAGTTCAGGGAATAATAGGTTTGATTTTAGAGCTATAGTCTTCAAAAGGAGCTCAAAACTGACAAGAAGTAGAAAATCAGAAAAAAAAACTCTGACCAAGCAATTGCAAATAATCTCAATGCAAAATAAAGGGAGAAGAACCAAAGAAGTCAACTAAAAGGGTTTTCTCTGATGAGCTCATCATTTTAAATATAGGTAACTTTAAGAAGAAGGGAACACATTCAAGGAAGAATAGAAAATAACAATGTGAACCTATAAAAACAGGTCAGATTTGGTTTAAATAAACAGCATAAGGTATTCAAAGCAAGGTCAAAAAAAATAAAACCCCCTGACCAGGTAAAAAGAGAAGACAGACCTTGTCCAACTCCTATCATGATTCCCTTTTCTGTTAGAAGGGTTTTCAACCTGGAAAGGATATAACAAAAATCCTAATAAACAAAATGCAGCCCAAGAAAGGTGAGGGCAATCTACACATTTTAAATGTCTTTAAATCCAGAATCTAAAGTCCAAGAAACAAATTCTAAAATGGATTACAGAAACTCACAGTGGACAAATAGCAGACATTAGAAATCTCCCTAAGTCTTAAAAAAAAAAAAAGTCTGATTTCCATTCTTGATAGTGATACCTTAAGGATGGAAAACTTTCTTAAAAATTTTTTTGACAACAACAAAGCATTTTACGAAGTTTTCCAAAACATCATTAAAATGAATATTGTAAGGTTGGTCTGTAGCTAAGTAAACAACAAGAGGGGTAAACAATCATTCAGAAACCCCCAGAAGAGTAATCTCTAGCAAGTCTTGCTTTTAGTACCATTTAACTTATTTTATCAGTAATTTGAGAAAAGGCAAAAACATCTCTAAGGAGGCCCTGCCTTGTACTGTTTGATATGTTTTATTAGCTGCTTAACAGTGGCAAAAAACTGTTATGTTTATGAAATGTGTAGGTGATATATAATTGTATAGAAAACCCAACAACCTGACACTTAGAACATATTCAGGATTAGGATTTGAAACCCTCACTAATATGGAAGGCAGTTAGCCATCATTAAAATTTGAGGACCTTTGTGTGTAACCCAAGAATAGGATCACTGAGAAGAAGAAAGTATAGGAGGACAAATTTCAGGGTGAAATAAGGATAAACTTTCTAACAGAATGATACAAAGATGGAATGTGCTTATTTTTGTAGTAATGAGCGTCCAGTTACTGATATACAGAAGCATGGGATAGATGGCTTCTTCTTAGCAGACAGTAAGAACATGAGTGGAAATCAGTGTTTTTTAAATTTAATAGCATGATCACTGCACTGAAGGAAACCTTACTCAGAAGACTGATATATAAAGACAGAGAAAACTGCTCTAGCTGAAATTCTCTACCATATCTCACACTTAATTGACATGGCATTGGACTACATGAATCTCTAAAGTGGTTTATATTTGAACAGTAAAACTATAATTTCTCAAGATTTATTTTTCTAAATAGTTTAGACAAATGGTCTCCCAAATGGAGTAAATGAGAGGATGTCATGGAGAAAATAAGAATTTACATATATAAAAACATGTATATGTTAAAATTATATATTATATGTTATATATACTAAGGTTATATACTAAAATTATATATTACACATATATAAAATTATACTTTATGGACTATTAATAGTATATATAATTTCAAAAGTTTCTCATCAGAGCCATGATCAACTATAATGCCTCCTGATACTGAGGTAACTTTTTAAAAACAATTTAGAAAGAGTATGAGAATTTTTGAGAGAAAAAAAAAATCAGAATCCATACCCACTAATTTAACACAACTGTTTCAATTTTTGTATATTTTTATCTTGTCCCTATCCACACGCAAACATTCATTTTGGCAGTTACCAACATGCCACGTAAGATCTGGTGAAGATTTTTACAAATGTCTATAAGCTACATAACTGATATTTTTGTGATTATATAAAGATGGAGATTTTATAATGTATCAAAACAATGTCTTCCTGTTGACCAGTCAGATCAGACTGGATCCCCTTTTTGTTATTATATAATTATTCCTATTTCTACCTCTGTACATGGTAGCTTTCTGTCTTCTGTTAGAAGTATCCTGAAGATTTCTGAAGTGGGATTAGTGAACTAAAAAGCATGAACTATGATAGTTCTTGTTCTATATAATAATGCCTTCCAACAGGTCTTAATCAATTCACTTGCAGTCACTTTCTGAACTCTGAGCATAACACCAGCTAAGTACCTTGTACACATTACATCTTACTTCTTACAAGTCTATATAGCGGGTATTTATTATTCCCGTTTTATGGATAAGGAAACTGAAGCCAAGAGAGATAACAAGAGCATAAATATTTTAAGGTCTTATTAAAGAATATAACCCACACTGCCAAATTCTTATTCAAAAAAAAAATATACCCATACATACATATTTATTTAAATATAGATAGCCATCAATGTCGCACGATCAAGTCCTTCATCTAGATCAGCATTTCCTGAGATATGTTTGGTAACATGCTTGGTTCTCACTACTTTGGCCCCAAAGAAAACTTTTCCCCTGACCATAATGTGGTGTTTTGCCACAGACTCACACCGAGGGGTACTTAAAAAAGTATCCATATGAGGCTCATTATTACATTTACTGTTGGAATGGTAAAGGGAACTTCATTTAATCTATCTCTTACAGTAACAAATTTGAGGCCCCAAGGGAGAAATACTTCTCAAACAGCAGGCCCAGAAACATTTTGTTTCTCCTAAGCCATCAGGGTGTTAATCTAATGAACAATGAACAAATTTTAACATGTAACATTCCTTTATTTAGCCACTAGGAAGCTCAAAGCAGTATCTGATATCCTCTTTGGTAACTATCAAGATACTCAAGGCAGGCATTTTTCTCAACTAATTAAGTCTGTCCTTAGCCTCAGCCTACTATTCCTCTATTAAATTCCTTATACTCTTATGTACTTCAACTTTGAAGTAAACTCTCAGGATCAGAGTCCAATCATTTTGCATATTTATGTCGAAATGTGATATAAATGGCTTTAAGAATATATATATAGCAATGAAATATTTTGGGGGGTCTGCTGTAACTTGTATTGAAGCCACATAAAAATCAGGTTATACTAGGCAATTTGCCCAAAAAACCTACTTTAACTTGTTTAGTATCTCACACTAAAGAAATCACTTAAAATTACCCAAAACTCACCAATCATAATTGGTGCTATTGTATTTCTAACTTCATTTTTACTCATACTCTAAAGCAATTCTAATAAAACTCCTGGAATAAGCTCAACAAGTAATTGCATTAGTTCAGGGTTAGGGGCTATTTCATGCTTTGAACATACAATGTCATATAAAATCTAACTTGGGTTAGGGATTTATTAGGTTTATTAATAGCTCACAAAAGCAACTCTATCTTCCTTCTAAATAAATTGGTCATAGTTTTAAAATTCTTATATTTAAAAAATTTAAACCACAATTCAGCACATTATTTTATTTTTACAACATTATTCTAGGAGAGCAATGCCACGCATTTTACATTTACTTTGACTTTCTCAAAGTAGCATGTGCTGATGGAACTAGAACTCGGAAAGAAATCTTTCTTTCCAGACTTTTTCTGGAACGAATGTAGGCCATGGACTACAAATGTTTCTCAGCTTTATTAGCAATGCTCTAAAAAACTTTTGCACAGGAACAAACAACTGTGTGCCAGACAACAGGAGATGGATTATGACCTTATTGTGGAATTGCAAGAACTAATAATGATTTTATCTCCTGCAGCATCAATGCCCTTAGGCAAAAATGTCTGATCCAACTCAGTTCAATGTATTAGATGATTTAATGAAAACAGAGTCAGCTCCTGACATTTGCTTTTTAGAGAGGGATAAAAAAGTGTACCAAATTCTGAGCCCAATTGTGTTATTGTATTTCTTACTTAATTTAAACATCATCCAGTGATTCTTTAAAGAACTTTTAAATTCATTCAAAAGTTGGATATTTTCAGAATATCTGCAATTCTACTAAATAAGGCCCCATTAGCTGGCTAAGAGATCAGCAGTATACCAGAGCTCTAACCTGGGAGACCATGAAGGCCTTTTTTTTTTTTTTTAAAGATAGACAAGATATAGTCATATACTGATCTAAATCTTAAATGCATGTGCATTAGTTTTAGTCCTTTCAAATGCTCAAATTATACCAATCTGTATTTTATTTATACTTGTTGAAAGTTTGCCTCTCCAGCATACTCAGAATGATGAAACTAAAGTAAAATATCTTCAATAATATTACATTTGTACAGATTGCTTTCTGCTATGGGCATCTCATCTAATGTATATTTATCAAGAAATTATACAGAAAGCATGACTTTAAAGGTAACTAAGAGGACAGATTTTAACATTATAGTAAGATATTTATAATTTATATATAAAGTACTTATGGGGTCCTTTTGTGCTTTTTTTGGAAATAAAGCAACATTTTATTCACATTTATTCATTTGGCTGTGCTATGTTTTTGAAATTTGGAGGGTATTAAATGTTCACATACATCACATGAAATAAAATGGAGGTAATCATTATTAAAAAAAAAAAAATAGAATGTTTTTAGAGAAGACACTTATGTTCTCACCTGAGGCTGCTGTGGCATTTGTAGGGGTTGAAGCAGCTGCTTGAATCCGAGCATGAGGAGGAATAAGGATGGTAGCTAGAGGTGGATTACTTGACAGTTCTAAAGAAAAGGTAAGACACATATTAGAGCCCATTCTTAACTCTTTTATGTGAAACTACTTTTATTGGTAACAATAAACATAAAGTACATTAAAACATTGGTTTAAAAGAAAAAAAGACATGATAAACGTACATCTAAAACTAAATCAATGAGCTAATAATCAACTTACAGAGAAAGTCCACAGAAATGTTGTACATATAACTAAGGCACTATCTGCTAAAATTAGATTATGTCTGAGAATTAAAGGGAGCCTGGGGAACTACACTGGCCAAAAGTTTGAGAATAAGCATATTACTAAGATATATTTCCATCTTTCATTAATTTAAATATACTGTGTGTGTATGTGTGTGTAGGCACCACTGCATGCATGGACCAACCTACCTGTTAAAGTTTCGTTGCTTTATTAAAAATAAGAATGCTTTTATTCTGTTCTATTTTGCTTTCTAACTCAGTAAGATTGTTACTTTGAAATAGGCTTTTTACCAGCATGTGGAAGTTTCTATCAATTCTATACAGAGTGGCTTTCTTCAAAGAATCAAATCCTATATGTAAGTCTCAAGAAATAATTTACGATGATATTGGATCTAGTGATGTGTGGTGAGCTTTTACATACAAGTCTCTGGTGTTAGCTTTAGGTAATGTGACCATTCTCCTGGTCCTCCCAGGATAACTCTGTTAATTTTTGTAATTCGAGCATTTACCCAGTGGCTTTCATTTTCATTCTAGTAAGTGTTGTAATTTGAAGGAATAATTACACAACCATACTAGCTACAGGAAGACATTATTCTCTGAGCTAAAGCATACATTTTGACAATTCACAGATATGGCATGGAATAAAAAAAATTAAATAGTACAATCTTAAAGTAAATTTGCATAACATAAAACTAAAGATTTTAAAGATTTTATTTTATTTATTTGACAGAGAGAGAGACAGCGAAAGAGGGAACACAAGCAGGGGGATCGTGAGAGGGAGAAGCAAGCTTCCCACAGAGCAGGGAGCCTAACACGGGGCTCGATCACAGGACCCTGGGATCAGGACCTGAGCTGAAGGCAGACACTTATGACTGAGCTACCCAGGCACCCCCGAATTAACCATTTTAAAGTGCACAGTTCAGTGGCATTTCATACGTTCACAATGTTGTATAACCATTCCACACCTCTGTCTAGTTTCAAAGCACTGTCATTACTCAAAAGGGAAACCTTTCAGCAGTCACTCCTGATTCATCCCTCCCCACGAGACCCTAGCAAAGAAAACAGTGTTTTAATACTATAGTTTAAAATGTTTTCTGAGGGTGTCTGGGTGGCTCAGTCAGTTGGGTGTCCAACTCCTGATTTCAAATCAGGTCATGATCTCATAGTTATGAGATTGAGCCCCGCACTGGGCTCCACACTCAGCACAGAGTCTGCTTTTTCCCTCTCTCTCTGCTCCTCCTGCTCTGTCTCAAATAAATAAATAAAATCTTTAAAAATAAATTTAAAAAAAATAAAAATATTTTCTGTTGTAAAGCTCCATTACTGACTTATTCAAATTGGCATCTAAATATCTAAAATTTGTACTAAATGATACCAGATTCTGATTAAAAAACAAAACAAAACAAAACAAAAAACAACCAGCAAGCTGATGCCAAGATTTGTGAAAGATGAATGGGAGCAAAAGCCTAAAACTGAAAGAAGACTCTCCTTAAGTGAGAAGATGTAGGGCAGCTTCTCAAATTAATAGATGGAAGACCATTGGAAAACCACTACTCTACTGATCAGGTTTGAAGAGATGCTATTTTCTCAAAATCAGCTTTAGTAGCTGTATTTGTTGTCACTGAGGAACAGGAAGATCCTAGGGTGTTTTATTTCACATTAGTCCTATTTCAACCTATAATCTTATACCTAGCAAAACAAGAGAATCCCTATTACCATGGCTGATGACTCTTACAGTTCTAGAATAAAATTAATGGATGTGGTAGTTACTCTTCATTAATGTAAAAAGGAAGATTCAACATCCCATTTACAATTAAAATCTGCTAAAAAGGCTTCTTTAAAATTCATCTATCCATTCATCCATACTTCCATCCAACCATCAATACTGAGCAAGAAACTGTGTTTCATGTCGTAGGTCTCAGGACAGAGAAAAAGATAACTATCTTTGATCAACAGAAATTGAAAATGGAAAGACAAATAAGCTAACAAGAAAGGCATTCAACCTATTCAGGATACGAGCACTTTTTTTTTTTTTAAGATTTTATTTATTCATTTGACAGAGAGAGAGAGATCACAAGCAGGCAGAGAGAGAGGGGGAAGCAGGTTCCCCACTGAGCAGAGCACCCGACGCAGGACCCAATCCCAGGACCCTGAGATCACAACCCGAGCCGAAGGCAGAGGCTCAACCCACCGAGCCACCCAGGTGTCCCTAGGATACGAGCGCTTTTAAATTAAAAGATCTCTATGACCAAGTGCCCAACATCTAAAAGAAAATCTAAGAAAGGAAAAGATGACCAGAGATTTTAAGATAAGACATTCTGACAAAGCCATTTTTAAGATAATCTTTAAAATAAACTGAATATCGTCACATGTGGCCCATGTTGCCCACTTTCTCCCATTCATTTACTCTCTTTTATCAGATCATCCATCTTTCTATGTATCTGTTTGCCCAGTGGAGGGGGCATGGTGGTTTTATGTGACATTTTGTGGATGTCACACACACACGGGGAAGGGCTTGAAAAAAAGCAACCTCTTTTTCCTTAGGGAGGAGATAGCCATTTTGGCTTTGAGTAGGGAAAGAGGGGTAACTAACGAAAGGAAAGGAGAAAAGTGAAGAAAATAAGAGGCAAGTAAAGGAGAAGCTATGGATCCTGGAGGTTTTGCCATATCCAAAGACAAAGAGAAGAGTAAGTAAAGTCCACAAAATAACTAAAAGAACTAGATTCTTAATCTAGAGTCAATAAGTAGTCTTTGGGTGGAGGGGAGGGCTTTTGCAAATTTGAATCTAACATTCTAAAACTTAAGAAATTCTAACCACCTCCCCAATCTCTATAACTCACTGTTCTCTTCCTTAACTATAGGAATTCCTTGAGGTTCATTGTTTTCCATCAGCTTTCCTCTACTTCAGAGAGGTTGTTGTCTTAACTTTTGCCTGTATGAAAGAGGAAGCCTCCTTATACTTTGTTATAGTCCCGTTCTCTACACTAAAGTCTGTCCCTTTTGTGGGGACAGACTATGGGGCTGGCACAAAATGGTTGAAATGATTTTTTGCTCATGATAATTACTACCCACTCCCAGTCTCCCCATCTATCCAGGACAGTGAGCAGTAAGGAAACTGAGACAATGAATGTGGATACAAACTGCAGAGTGAGCATAAGAATGTAAAAAAGGATGGTATTTTAGAGGATAGGAACAGCAGAACAAAAGAACCTTTCAGGATCAGAGAGAGTGGGTGTATTCTTAGACAAAGAATAAGCAGTGTAGTAGAAGAGACTGAAAATAAAAAGAAAGCTAATTTTTAAAAAAAGATTATTTATTTATTTATTGGACACAGAGAGAGAGATCACAAGTAGGCAGAGCAGCAGGCAGAGAGAGGGGAAAGCAGGCTCCACGCTGAGCAGAGAGCCGGATACGGGGCTTGATCCCAGATCCCAGGACCCTGAGATCATGACCTGAGCCGAGGGCAAAGGCTTTAACCCACTGAGCCACCCAGGCTCCCCTAAAAAGAAAGCTAATATTTATTGAATAAACATGTGCGAGGCTTGAGATTAGGGAGATAATTAAGGGAATTATGAGGTCCATAATACTGAAGTAGGCCTAGCTTTGGAGAAGAGGAAGAATAAGACAGACCATGCTTTATCTCAGAGACAAGGCTCAAAATAACATGGCAACAGGTTCAGAAGGTTTTAGAAAAGTTAACAATGGTTTTTGTAGCAACATGGATGGGACTGGAAGAGATTATGCTGAGTGAAATAAGTCAAGCAGAGAGAGTCAATTATCATATGGTTTCACTTATTTGTGGAGCATAACAAATAGCATGGAGGACAAGGGGAGATGGAGAGGAGAAGGGAGTTGAGGGAAATTGGAAGGGGAGGTGAATCATGAGAGACTATGGACTCTGAAAACCAATCTGAGGGTTTTGAAGGGGTGGGGGGTGGGAGGTTGGGGGAACCAGGTGGTGGGTATTAGAGAGGGCACGGATTGCATGGAGCACTGGGTGTGGTGCAAAAACAATGAATACTGTTATGCTGAAAAGAAATACAAACATTAAAACAACAACAACAACAAAAAGTTTAACTAACTGTAGATGCCATAAAACTGTGCCATCAAAAACCACATAGTAGTTTATCAGGGACTATCAAGAATCTTTTGATAGCGTTATCAATCATTACGTGATCCATAACTAAATATTTCAATGGACTATTTAAAGAAAAGCCAAATGAATTAAAAAAGTTATCAATAAAACTAAATAGGTATCAACCAAAAGGCAGACCAAATTCATTGAATTGAATTTTGCTGCATCATTGTTTGTAATGTAAATGAAAGAAGAAACATTCCCATGAAAAGATAAATTGAATGAATTTAACCATACTTGATTGCCTGATAAATCAATCTTTTAAAATATTAAAACAAAACATAAATCTAGTTGACAAAATCTTAAGTACTCCTTGAAGTTTCTATTCTTCCAAATATATGAGTCCTAAATTTAATGATAAGAGGTAGACAAGAAACCTTCCTGGTTTTTTCTGGGGGGACGGGGATAGAAACAGTGGGTCAGTGGCTACGTAGGGTATGTTTGTTCAAACTGTGGATAGTGGGAAAGCTGAGGATAAATTTGAGAGAAGCAATCAATGTGTAAACTAGAGGGAAGAAATCAATCCTTTTGTTTACCAGACCTTCTCTTACGGTGATGTAAAAAAATACCAGTCATCAGGTAAAAAGTCATCTTCTTCATTAGCTTTGAAACTGACCCTGCAGATCTCTAGAAAGGAGTCCCTAAAAGAGGCAGATTTACTCTTTCTTCTACA